AGAAAAGAAATGGATTGAAAAGATCCTGAAAAAAAAAGAGGAAAAAAATAGAATGAATGTGATGAGAAGCTTGAGGAAATGTTTAATAAAAAATTGGCTTCACCTGAATCAACTTGAGAAAAATGTTTTTTTGCATTCTAAACTTGTATTTGAGTATTAACGCCCTTAGTGGTAAAGTTTTCATGAAATTCTTTTTCATATGGATATTTTAAGTATCCTTGATATACTTGATTTAACAAATCACAGTTCTTCTTGAAGTGAATGGAGATTTAGAAATCTTAGATTTGATTGCTAAGTTTCTTATACTTATAGTTTTAATCTATGTTATTAAAAGTTTTTCTTAAATTATAGTATTTTATTTATTAAACTAAAGTATAGAATTTTATAAGTTATTCTCTATCCTAAGACATATTTTTATGTAGTAAAAGAGTCATTTAAGGATAAGTAATATTTAATTTTGGGAGATTTTGATACACAAAAATAAAGTGATAATGATAAGTAATATTTAAGTTTGGGAGATTTTGATACACAAAAATAAAGTGATATTTTAAATATTCATTTTATGCTTATTTTTTGTGATATTGCACTTTAAAAAAGGATATTTTTATATTTTTGTTGCAAGTATATCGATTTTAGGCTTTTGGAGTAAAAGTAACAAAAAGTAGAAAATTCGGAGCCAAAATAGAGAACTTTGTGATTCTGATGCCTGAGGTGTCAGAGGCAGCATTATACAGAGAAGCGATGCCAAATTTGGTGCCAGAACCCAAAATAATGCAGACTTAATTAACTTAGCGCTTGAGGCGCCATAATTGGCACAAGAAGTGCCAGATACAATACTTGATGGATTAATGCGGTTTGGCATGAATTTTGAATAGATTTTAAGGCTCCAAATGTTTCAAATGCCCCATAGTGTGATTCAATGCATCTAAACATTTTGGAAGGCTCTTTAATGAAGGGATATATCTCTCGAATGAATGGACATGTCTTTTGGGATTCAAAAAGTGTGACTTTTGAAGAGAATTAAGAGAATTTGGGAGGAAATTTTAAGAGAATTTGGGAGGAAATTTTGAATTCTTTTTGAAACGAGGCAACCCCTAATTAAAGAGAGAGAGAGTGACGAGAGAGATTTTGAAAGAAGGAAACCCCTAATTAAAGAGAGAGAGAGTGACGAGAGATTTGAGTGTGGAGAGAGAAAGGAGTTTTGAGAGAGGAGAGTGGCGTGAGAGAGAAGAAAAGTGGAGGCGTGAGATAGAGTGAAGGACTTGGAGATTTTTTTCTAAGGTTGTAAGAGGAGAGAGAAAGTGCAAGATTTTTCATTCATTGCATTTCTAAGAGAGAATTGAGAGTGCATGTAAAGAGGGAAAGTGCTTAAAAAGAACTTCTAGGGATGTACTCCTCCTTTTCATCTAAATAGTTCACAAAAGATCCATAGGTCATCTGAAGCCCTTCATCTGCCTCCTTGCAAACCTTGGTGGGACTGAATTGGTGATCAGAATTCCGCTCATTACATTGAAGCTTATCCCTTGTTTTTGCTCCACAGCTATTGCGTTTATGGATGGATCAACACCAAGACCTGACAAAAAGGAGTTAACATTTAGGATCTCAGTAGCTGGTGGGGTTGCATAAAAAGATATTATAAAATGAAAAATTCAGATGTTAAAACAGAGCCAAGAACTCCATACCAACAACTTAATACCCTTTCAATTACATGAAAGAACTTTGACCTCACCAAATTCTCCTATCCCATGACTGACATAGGAAGTCCTACGCCTTCTAGTGATCCAAGTGATATGATAGTACCAATTGTCTCTTGAATCACCCCAATAACGGAAGAAAGCTATGCCTCATAAACAAGAAGAATGGGCATATGAGCAAAAGCATACATCTTAATAACAAGGGTTGAAAGTTCTGCAAGAGGATCGACCGGTCGTCCATCAGATTTTTTTCTGAACATCCTCTCACTGAGACCCGAGAAGTGAATCAGAGGATCCCATTTGGTCCTACAAGTCAGGTGTTTTCCTCTTTTTCACCACTCTCTTCTCATACATCTCTCTTTTAAGCTTTTGTTTCATCGATTTGTTCTTCTTTTCCTTCTTCCGGGCTTTCTCTCTAATGCCTTCAAAAGCACTAAGAAGCCCCTTCTTATTGTGAGACTTCACCCCATACATTCCACCATCAACCATTGCTAGAAGACACAAAGGAGAAAACTTAACGAACTCTGAAGCATGAAGGGTAAAACGTATCAACAAAATAGGGACGGAGGAGAAAAGAGCACGTCTAATTCAAAGGCTCTTGCAGCCTATTTATTGTAATTAGGCACAAAAATCTAGGGAAGTGCACTCATTGAAAAAATTGTACCATCATAAAAATGATATAATTTTGCATTTTTGTACTACGAAAAATTTTCTTATTCTTATTCCAACATAGTGACATGCGTCAATTTTACGTAACTTTATCTATTATTTTTTTGTACTTTACTTGTTATTCCTGTTTATTTTTCACAGATTTATGCTTAAGAAATCTTTTTTTTTTCATGGTTATGCATGATGCAGGAGCTGAATATGAACAACTTCAAATGAGAAAATTAAGTGAAAAAGTGTCTTAAAGCAGTGTAACCACTTCTAAAAGTAGTATGGCCACTCTCATATTGACCACACTATAATTGGTGTGACCATGCCATCTTTTATAGTAGGGCGGCATGACCACACCACAATCGAGTGTGACTCGCCGACGAGTAGGAAGGAAATTTGATGGCCCAAGCCATGATTTTTGCCATAAAATCAATTCTTATGGCTTCTAAGAAGGAGTTCTACATTAGAGAGGACTTTAAAGCTGAAAGGAGAGAGTTCGGGGAGAGAATTTGAAGGTTGTCTTCCTCCTTTGGTAGAAATCTGCTAGGGAGATTTTTTTCTTTGCTCTGTGAGTTGTGAGAGTTTGTATGAGAGGGAATTGTGTTGATTTTGTAGATAAAAAAAATTTCTTCCAAGTTTGTCATATTTTTGTTACTTGCAATAGATTCCCACTTGGTGATTTTCGCTATGATTTTCTCATTCATGAGTGACTAAAGTTTTCTTAGGTGATGTAGGCAGTAGTGAATTTATCATGATTTTTCTATTATGATTTTCTCCATCATGAGTGACTAAAGTTTTCTTAGGTGATGAAGGCAGTAGTGAATTTATCATGATTTTTCTATTATGTTTTTTTTTCTGTTAAGTGTATTCTTTGAGCTTTCATATGCCGTTTTGTTACTTAACCTCCGATCTTAATTTTCTCCTAGTCATGCCTATTAATATGTTAAATGTTTTATGAAACTACGACATCCGCAGCGGAAACGAAGGGTTAACTATATACTTTTAAGAGGATAGACATATTCTAGGAGAACACTGCAATCTTCTCTGGGGATTGGAATACTCATGCCGAATGCCATGAGGATTAAGGAAGCCTCAACTTTATGGATTCTAGGCTATTTTAGACCTTGACATAGGCACTATGAGTACTATGTCCCTAATTAACAACAATCAAGTACGAGAACATTTAGGAAAATCAAGATCGCTAGGATCCCCAGATCACAAAGGCACCAGCCTCATCTATCTTGAAGAAATTAACAAACTTTTCCCGCTATTTCTGTTTTCTTTCATTGACAAGTACTTTGTTTTGCTAGAACCTTAGGACTTTGACACATGCACTTGTGTTGTGCGATCAATTTACGTCACAAGACTTTCAAGATGCAAGAAAGTCGAAGAACTAAATATGTGCACAAAAAATGTGCCCGCAAAAATCTTGAAGAAATCTGAAGTTCCACGGAGAAATAGTAGTGACTGGCGGCAAAATCGATGAATCAGTTATTTTTCACTAGAGCAAGTAAAATAAATTCCACTTAGAGATCCTGGGCCGACCGACAACCATGACATTCGACCCTCTTGTCCCAGTTTTGCTAGCTTGACCGACCGACCTATCTAAAGCGAAGACCAGTTGGTAGACTCCTCTTATTCAGAAGAACTCACCGACAAAGATATTCTTCTCATACATGTAAAATACTAAACTAGCCCTCATTGTCTTAAATAAAACAAGGAGGTAATCTCATATATGTACCCCCTATGTCTATAAATCGATGGTCATTTATCGACAAAAAGTTATGTATTCTTATTGTTCATTAATGTGCTCTCTGTCCTCTTCTTTTTTACAACGCTTTATTCTTAGGGTGTGTCTTTAAGACAATATCGAATACAACATTAGTAATTTCCATCTATGATGTTTTGATGAAAAGAATGCGATGTGAATGTTAGGCAATGAGTTTGAAGGATGGAATTATGTCCTTGCTGATAAAGATGACTATCTTTAGTTCAACCATTTCGACAGGTACGCTCTAGAATATGCATAAAAAAGCCGATACAACCATAATTTTGTGCACATTTAGTTCAACCCTATTTGTGTATAAAATTGCTATAAAAGCATATGTTTAAATCTTATTTGACACGTAAAAGGGATGTTTGGCTGCAAGAAGGATTTAGTGTTAGTAGGATTTAGTAAATCCTGATTTGTTAAATCTACTCCATTGTTGGATTTATTAAATACTCCACCTTGATGTGTATAAGTGCCTAAACAAATAATCTAATCTATAATGCATGGTAAAAATATTTAAAAAAATAATCCTAATATTTATTCAAATTGAGAATAGTGATAATTTTATATCCCCCAAGGAAAATCTAATGGGTAATCAAAGAATGACAAAAACGTGCCTTATTTTTCTTATAGCAAAGGGAATATATATTTTTTTAACGAGTAAAACAATGAATTTATTTTTAATTTTTTACTGTTGTTCCCTTTACTTTTAGCACCTGCTCATATCGATGCTTAACTTGTTAGACTCTAAAACATCGCTTAAAAGCGGCTCATTTCGCTCACTCCGGATTGCTATAAGATTCGTGCAAAATGAGGATGTTATCACTAATTACATAATCAGTGATAACCACGTCTTAATGCAAACCCAGGGTCGTGCGTCCCTTCACGCATATGATTCTGCCACCCCGACGCGCTCATCTCTTTCGCTACGGTGGCGTCCAAAGGAGAAGCAAGAAGCTCGCTCACTACCGAAGACAAGCGCAGAAACTCTTCATGCGAAGAGCTTTCGAGCTACTCGCGATCTCAATCCCCTACCGCGATTGCTTCAGTCGGTCGCTTTTGTGTGTACGTCGTTAGTGAGAAGAGAAGAAAGAGATGGTGGCTCTCCGGAAAGTAGGCAAGTACGAGGTGGGGAGGACGATCGGCGAAGGGACGTTTGCGAAAGTCAAGTTCGCGCAGAATAATGAAACCGGGGAGAGCGTCGCCATGAAGGTCCTCGATCGCGCTACTATAATCAAGCATAAGATGGCTGATCAGGTCCAATACATGCAATCAACTACACTCTTTGGAAGTTTTTTTTTTTTTTTTATTTAATTTTATTGCCCTAATTTTTTCTTACCTTCTTCTCACTATTCTTATCCTCCCTAGTAATATCTTCTTATCCTTTACCAAATTTCTTAGATCGGGGAGGATATTTGTGAATTGGGGACTGAACCTTATTATAGCTCTTTTGAAATCATAGATTTCCCTGACTATTACTTACAAGTGCATTACATTTTTATTAAACTTGATGGTTTCCAGTTCATTTAGTTAAATATGGAGAACGTGGAGTCTAGAACTTGGTGGTGGCTAATACCGTATTGTTGTGCAGATTAAAAGGGAAATTTCAATAATGAAGCTTGTTAGGCATCCCCATGTTGTTCGACTTCATGAGGTCTGCTAACTGAGAAGCTGATTTTGAATCATGCCTGCCTTATTTCCTTTGGACCATTTGGACTGATTGTTCTTTCTTTTTTGTAGTACAGGTGTTGGCGAGTCGCAAGAAGATATATATAATCCTGGAATTCATTACGGGAGGCGAATTGTTTGATAAGATTGTGAGACTCTACTAAGCTATGCAATTGTTGTCATTGCACCCTCTGGCTGAGCTTAGCCTTATTCAATAAGAATTGACGTACATACCACATAATTTTTATCTTTTATATATTGAATATCTAAATGTATGTGTTTACTTATATAAAACCATAGTGGTTAAAGCACACTAAGACATATGCATGAAATGGTGTATTTCTCTTTTTATAAGGTAAGATTTTTAGCATTTTTGATATGATTTGAGCGTTAGGGTGCCATATAAGTAAATATAAAGATTTGTGTTAGATATGCAAATACATGAAAATTCTGTATGTAAATCCCCCTTATATACCTGTTAATTTTATGTTAATGGTTTTTGAAACCCATTTTTGGTTAGCCTCTGTAGAAGTGCTTACGTTTGGCTTTCTCTGTCAACTAAAAGATGACAAATACTTTACCTCTTCTAGCCAACACACATGAGAAGTTAGGAGGTTTTATGTTCTTACTTTTTTTATACTTGTATTCTATTTATAATTTAATAAAATTTGAATATCATATTTTTGCAGGTTCATAATGGAAAACTGAGTGAAAATGATTCTCGCAAATACTTCCAACAACTCATTGATGGGGTGGATTATTGTCATAGTAAGGGTGTCTATCATCGAGATTTAAAGGTAGCTTTTGGAGCAGAAAAATGTAACTAATTCTTGCTAACTTAAGGAATTAGTTATCAATATTAGTTGTTTGTCACACATGCAGCCTGAGAACCTCCTACTCGATTCACAAGGATATCTGAAAATTTCAGATTTTGGTCTCAGCGCTTTGAGAGTAGAAGTAAGATGAAATTCCTAATTTTGTTTCAACAAGGATAAATTGTCACACTTAAAATTGTAGACTAAAATCCCTTTTATTTATATTCAAAATTTTTGGTTTAGTTAGGCATTTAATTTGCTTTTCCTAATCCTTTCTTAATCTCTTTCTTGTCTGGAATGTAGGGAGTTAGGCTTCTTCAAACAACTTGTGGAACTCCAAATTATGTAGCACCAGAGGTAGACATCTTGAAAATATCGGATTGCAAATATATTTCTTATAACATCTTATACAACTTAAAATTTGTAGTTGCAAATTTATAATTTATATGGATATGTTTTACATCCTAATTGTACTTGATTTTTATTGAGAATCCATAATATTGGTATGCGCTTGCACTAATGATAACAATTTCTTCCAACAACTTCATAGCAGATCAATGAAGTAACAAGAAGAAGCATATAAAATGTTTGTGTTCCATTGATAACTTCAAAACAATACAAATACCTCGAGCTTTTCAACTCAATACACATCAAGTCTCATTATGTGATAAACATATGGGTAATCAAAATGGAATGGAAGTTGTTCTAACGCAATAATCCAAATTTAAATAACATAACTATTGTGGAACATCTTAAAGAATATATATGTCAAGAAATTATCATTTAATTTGCTTCTTTATTCCAAAATTTGTGGCAAAATTTTCAATTTTTTTTTGTCTTGAAACCAAGTTTTTGGCTATGCCATGACTATCAATGCTTCGATGCACTCTTGTTGTTTCTCTTTATCTCTCTTTCTGTGCACACTTATATTTTACCAATCTAGTAAATTCAATTATTCAAATTAAGGGGAAGCAATTCAAAACATATATCTACAATACTTAAATATATCTACAATACTTAAAACCCATAAAAAATTCCAAATAAATGTTTAAACTTCCTCTCTTGTTTGTCTCAAAATTACCCTATTTTACAATTGTTGTCCAACAAAATATGCTCACAATATGAACCTGATTCCATCTTACCTAGACCTTTTTTCCCTTCTAGTAAAAATAGTTATGATAGTATAATGAGTTATGAGACTTAGCAAGATAAACAAATCTAATACAAAACTCAAAGATTGAATAATAACGAATAATATGCGTGTTAATCATGAATAAATAAAATCATGAAATGTGTACATGTGATATTTACATTACTATAGCAGTGAACACATTAAATTTATAATAAAATACTTATATTAGGTTATAGTAGTATACATGCAAAGGTAATTGGAATGCATCAAAATTTTATTTTGCCTTTGTTTTGTTGTTTTGGATTTCAATTTTATGTTATACTGTGTCATGTATAATTTATATAAGTTATTTTCCATCATAAACTCAGCCCAAATGGTACATCATCATGTTCAATGGAGCTTTAGGTGAAACCCAATATTAGTGCTATTGAACTGCCTTGTGACCCATTTGACTGTATAGGGGAATTTCTTGTCCCACTGATCATTGTGCAGGTATCATAAACATATCATTGCTAACCTGTAATCCCATAATATGGTATTTATTTCTAAGCTCCACACATTTTTAAAATTAAACATTTTAGTAAATTTGTGATTGTTTTTAAAACATGCTGAGTAACGTTATATGCAAATAAGCAACTTACAGGTACCAAATGCTTTCTTTCTACAGTATCACTAACTAACAAATTACATAATCAAAATGCATTTACTTGTAAGTTTGTATCAAATAAGTTTTTATTTGATTCCTTACTCATGAATATCGAATAGTAAATATACACTCCACAATATGAAGATTTTGCAGTGGATTTCCTGAAAATTCTTTCTTTTATAAACAATCACAAAATTTCCACTCCTCATACAAACTTAAAAACATATAATCCTGATTAGAAATCAATGCATTAGAAGAATACCCAAAAGTTAAAATTTAAATGAAAACCAAAGTTTCTTACTTTACTCTCTTTCTTTCCTTCCTCCATTCTCTCTTCCACTTCTCTTTTTTTTTTCTCCTCGTATTCTACTTATTCTTCTCCTCACTTTTTTTTTTCATCTCTTCTTATTTTTCCTTAAGTTTCCTATTGCCTGAACTGTCCAACTCTCGGATGGCTATTGGGATAGAAGGTTATGGAAATGAGTGATGGTTATTAAGCGTAGTAAATTGGAATACTTATCTAATAAGTTCTTGTCTCTCCCTCCGTCCCTCTCTCTCTCTCTCTCTCTATATATATATATATATATATATTTATTTAAATTATCGTATCCATGCATTCGATTAACATCCGCTGCATGCACAGATAAATGGAATTTCGAAATTCTACTAAGAGCTATATTACATGAATTTTTTTTTTTAAAATAAAACTCCAGGAAATTTAATTAAACATTAATTGATCCATAACATTCTTTTATATGAGAATTAACATACAAATCTATGTATCAAAATTATTGTTTTGAAGAATAGAATGAAATGGGATGATGTTTTTTTCTAATTTTCAAGAAAGTTAAAATTTTTGGTATAATTTAATTGGGGGTATTTGTGTTTGTATTTTATCGAAAATTGCATATTACACTTGAATCATTAACATGTTGGCTCTATTGAAAAAATTATTGGCTTGCAGTTAGTTCTCTAGTAAACCTCAACAAATAATATGAATGCAAATCAATGCAAAAAGAATCATACGATCGTCAATAATATTAACCTTTTCTTAGAATTTGTTATTTTTCTCTTTCTAATTTGAATAACAATAGGCCTGGAATTCTCATGTGTCTACAATTTGGCCTATTTATAGAGGAATGTATCAGTCAAGAATAGCTGAAATCAGGCAACATTAAGAGATTTCTTATTTAAAATGCTGAATTAAATTCCGTAACTTAATTGTACATATTCTTTCCTTACTGTTGAATATTTAGATTAGGAATATGTATTATTACAAATTATTATGTATTATTAGGCTACCTAAAATAGATTGTACAGACTATTATTTATTGGAATGAAAACAAAGGAAAAAGACATACAAAGGATTTACTCAAAACATTGACATGGTATCAGAGCCATGCCGAATCACTCTGGTCTGAATGTTTTGTCGTCTTCAAATTTAGCATTTGGGAATCATTTATCTTTATTTTTGACCCGAGCTCATTCCATCTTCGCCGACATCATCGACTGCTTTCTAAGTCTTCATTGTCTTCGACCGCAAATCGTCGAGAGTCTCGTTTGCGATCCTGTAGAAGCCTTCCGAGTGCCCATCTGCTACGATCTGCAACTGTCCATCGCGATTAACGAAGGATAGGAAGATCGATCCTCGTGTCCGCACTGATTGCTTCTGTTGTGATTCATGGAAGAATAAGATCCCGTTTGTTTCGTCCGCGATCCAAGCCTCATCCGCGATTGCGTCTGTCGTGATTCACGGAAGAATAAGATTTCGTCTGTCTCATCCGCTTATGCGATCCAATCTTGCCAGTTAGAGCCGCCGCTCCTTGGTGCACCGCTCAAGCTGCTCGTCCCTATTCACATAACAAAAAGCCGAATAATGATTTTCTTTGGTCTTTTTTGGGTCTCTTGGTTTTTCTTTGGTTTTAAGTTTATCAATTTCGATCAACAACTTTCTGGATAATTAACTTGTGAGTGACAATTTAGTTAGAATGTTTTATGAGAAAACACATGAAAACTTGGCTATCAGATTTTTGGGAAAGAATTATCTAACTTGGAAATTTCAGTTCAATATGATTTTTGAAAGGTAATGAGTTTTAGAGTCATATTGATGGGTCTTCTCTAGCACTTACAGAGCCGAAAAATCTTGGTCAATGGGAGGCAAAAGATGCACGAATTGTTTCTTAGATTTTGGGATATTTTGAGGCTCATATGGCGAACAACTTACAATTTTTTGGCACGACTAAAGAAATGTGAAAATACTTAAAACGCGTCTACAATCAAAATAATACTGTAAGACACTTTCAATTGAAACTTGATATGAGTAATTATAGTCAAGATAATCTCTCAATTGTAATATTATTCTGGTTTTCTTAATTCTGGTTTTCTTAATTTATGGAGTGAATATTCTGACATTATTTATGCTAAGTTGCAAAAGAGAATTTAACTAGTTTTCAGGCTATTTATGAAGTGAGTCGTTGTAATCAGTTTTTGATGCTCAGGCCTGAATTTGAAACTACTCAGGTTGGGTTGTTGAGTAGAGTTTCGATTCCTTGTTTGGATGTATGTTTTGGTGAATTACTGCACGATGAACAAAGATTGACGACACAAGCTGCTATCAGTGCAGCTGGTGGATCATCCTAAATAGTTAATGTTGTATATGCTGCTCAAACCCAAGGGAAGGAAACAAAATAGTGTTACAGCTTCAAAGAATTTGGTCATATTGCTCACCAATGTAGTCAGAAATTTTATAATGATTGTAAGAAAAACAAACATATTATTAATGAGTGTCATACACAACCTCAAATTCGTAAACCACAAGCCCTTCATGCTATGATATCCGATTCTCACAATCTTGGTTCGACACTCACAGCTGCCGACAATTATCAATCTGTTCTCACACCAGATATGGTTCAACAGATGATTCTATTTGCCTTTTTTGCTCCTGGTCTTCAAGGGAAAAATAAGACTATTACTTCTGTTTTTTCTCCTTCATTTTTTGATTCTGAAGCCACGAATCATATGACTGACACATCTGATTTATTGCATAATCAACGCCCGTATACTGATACTCAGCATATTCATGTCACTAATAGAAATAATCTTCCAATTACGACAGTTGGTGATATTAGCTCCTCCTTCCGACATGTCTTAGTTTCTTCTAAATTATCTACAAACTTTCTGTTGGTCAAATGGTGGATAATAATTGTGGTGTACAATTTTCTCGTAATGGTTGTGTTGTGCAGGATCAGGTGTCGGGGAAGGTGATAACGAAGGTATCTAAAGTGGGCAGGTTATTTCCATTACAATTTACCGTTCACTGGACTTTATCATTAGCTTCTTCAGTTGAAAATAAGGATGACGTTTGAAATAGCAAATTTGGTCATTCAAATAATGTTGTTTTAAATCATTTGTTGCAAAGTGATGTTTTTGGATTTATAGATATAAGTTTATTAGTTGAATGTTGCTCTTGTAATTTGGGTAAAAGTAAGACAGTGTCTTTTTCTATTTTGGGCAGTTGTACTAATAAATGTTTTGACATTATTCATAGTGATGTTTGGGGAATTGCACCAGTTATTTCATATACTCAATATAAATATTTTGTGACATTTATAGACAATTACAACCGACTTACATAGATCTATTTTTTGCATTCCAAAATAGAAGTGTTTACCGTGTTTCAAATCTTTATAGGCTTATATTGAAACCCAGTTCTCCACTTGTATTAAAACTTTACAGTGTTACAATGGTGGTGAATACATGTCTCATGAGTTTTAAACATTTATTCATAACAAGGGTATTGTCTCACAACGTTCATGCTCTTACACTTCTTAGCAGAATGGAGTTGTAGAATAAAAAAATCATTATCTATTGGATATGGTGCACACATTATTATTATAGTCTTCTGAGCTTTATCTACTACAATTTATCTAATTAATCGCTTATCATCCCATCAATTGAAGTTTGATTCTCCATACTATCGACTTTTTGATAAACATCATAATTATCATATGTTATATACCTTCAAATGTGTTTGTTTTGTTCTTTTACCTATCCATGAACGCCATAAGTTGGCACCCTAGTATGTTCGATGTGCCTTTCCCTAATCATAAAGGTTTTGTATGTTATGACTCGATTAATAATCGATGGCGTATCCCTTGGGATGTGATTTTCTTTGAACATGAATACTATTTTCAGCATCTTTCGCCATCCAAAACTGTTATACTTTCTCACTTTGATGATTTTTTTTTTTGATAAACGATTCAAACCCGTAATTGTCTACACACGACGCCTGGTCCCTTCGTCCTCCAAATAAATATGACTATTATGCAATTTTAACTAATACTACAGTTCCTACATCTTATTCTCAGGCTGCTAAACAGATCTATTGGGTAAAAGCCATGCCAAAAAAACTTTAGGCCCTTTAAGACAATCACACTTGATATATTGTTTCATGTTCTGCAGGTGTTAAACCCTTTAGTTGTAAATTTTTTTATTCTCTTAAGCTCTGATCTGATGGCTCCCTTGAAAGATCTAAGGCAAGATTCTTAGTTTTTGACAATCAATAGGAATAAGGGATTGATTATGAAGAGACATTTGCACCTGTGGTTAAGGTGACAATTGTCTAGCTTTTTCTATCTATTGCTGCTTCTAAAGACTGATTCTTACAACAGATGGATGTTAAGAATGCATTTTTGCATGGAGACTTTGAGTAAGATATTTATATGACTCATTCTCCAAGCTTGTTTTCTAGATCCTCACATGATGTTTGTAAGCTCAAACGGTCTCTATACGACTTGAAACAGACTCCATGAGCCTGGTTTGAAAAGTTTTGCAATACTCTTCTTAGTTTCTCTTTTATTCAAAGTCAGTATGATTCTTCATTATTTATCTGCAATTGTGCTGTTATTAATCTATGTTGATGATATTGTCATCACAGGATCCGATACTCAATTGATTTCTCAGTTACAGAAATGTTTTATGTGTTCTTTTCTTATGAAGGATTTAGTTCTTTAACCTATTTCTTAGGTCTTGAGGTTCACTCTTCTTCCGCTGGTATTTTTTTTCACCAGCATAACTATACTAAAAAACTCGTTGCTTTGTTTAGGCTCTGAGAGGGTCGTTCTGTTGATGCTCCTTTAGAAGAGAATGTTAAATATCAAAGGAATAATGGTGACTTTATATCTGATCCATCTCTGTATCGACAACTTGTGAAAGTCTCAATTATCTATCCATCACACATTTTGATATTTCATTAGCTGTGCAACTAGTTAGTCAATATGCAGACACCTACACATCTTCATTTAGCTGCAGTTCAACGTATTGTTAGGTATTTGAAAGATAATGCTCATCGTGGCTTGTTTTTTTTGCGAAATATCCTATCCGCTTAACAACATATAGTGATGTTATAATGATGCTGATTGAGCTGACAGTTCTGATACACGTTGATCTAGTACTGGTTGGTGCATGTTTCACGACATCTCTTTAATTTCTTGGAAGAGTAAGAAATAAGATCGAGTGTCTATGTCTTCTATTGAGTTTGAATATTGTGCTATGTTCTCTGCTTGTTCTGAGATCATTTGGCTTCGGGATTTGGTCGTTGAACTTGATTTTCCTCAACTTAAGTCTACTTCTTTTTACGCAGATAATTCCAGTGCTATCCAGATTATTGTTAATCCTGCCTTTCATGAGTGCACAAAACACATTGAAGTGGACTGTTATTCTATTCGAGAAGCTTATGATAACGAAATTGTTTTTCTTTCTCATATCTCTTTTGATCTTCAAATGACTGATATATTTACTAAGACCCTTTCTCGACAGCGCCATTAGTTCCTTTTTGACAAATTGATACTTCTTGATCAGCCAACATCAATTTGGGGGGGGGGGGGGAGATTAAAAGAGAATTATGACTGAAATCGGGCATATTTAAGGGTTTCCTTATTTAAATTGTTGAATTAAATTCTGTAATTTAATTGTGCATATTCTTTCCTTACTTCTAAATATTTAGATTAGGAATATGTATTATTACAAATTACTATGTATTATTAGGCTACCTAAAATAGATTGTACAAACCATTATTTATTGAAATGAAAGCAAAGGAAAAGGGCATTCGACCTATTTACTTAAAACATTGACAAAATGCTCTCTCAAATTTTGTAGGATGATTATCTCCAAAATATCTTAAAGAAAAGAAAAAAAATCTCATAATTATCCAACTAACCCATAAAATTAGGATATAGAATTTGCCATCTGGAATGCCAGTTCACCACATCAATAGCATCTCTAATGCTGTTAGTGGAGCAATACGAGAAACAAGAATGCTTGTCTATATGTTAATAAATACAAACTGGATCTTCTATTTATAAAATAAAATATCGTGGAAAAATTTCTTAAAAGGCAAACAAAAAACATGAGTTAAGATGAATTTGGACATTTTTTGTTATTTGTAAGTTGTGTTATTCACTTTTCTTCATTGCCCTTTTGTAAATTTTTTTAAGTTTATATTAATACTTGTATGATGATTGTGAATGCATCGCCTGGCCTAGGTACTCAGTCATAAAGGTTATGATGGTGCACTTGCTGATATTTGGTCATGTGGGGTCATTCTTTATGTTCTGTTGGCAGGATATCTTCCTTTTGATGAGGTTGATTTGGGTACTCTTTATAGCAAGGTATGTTTTATTCTTCTATAGGTATTATTTAGGGTTGTCAAGCTTTTATGTTATTCTATCTTCCTTCAGCAGTATGTCTTGCTCTAAATTGACACAAAAGGTTGGCTTAAAAGTTTTTAAATTATTGGATTGAAGATTTTTTTGTGCTGTTACTACGTTCATTTATTTTGCTATATAGCCCATCTTTCTAGACGCGAGCATTCGGTCTATTTGGATGAATCTGTTTTTAATTTGGTCATTCCGATTGCAACGGAACTTCAAAATCCCAAAAACCAAACCACTCAGAATTTTGATTAAACTGTTCAGTTATGAACAACATGCAGTTTAATTGTTAAATGGAGTTGGACTATGAACAAGCATCAAGTATTACGGATCTTACATGTATAATATCAATTTGATTTCATAAATCAACCATTTATTTTTAAATTTTCTCTTTTGCTGTTTTTTCGGTTAAATGAAATTTAAAATTGAATCAATAACTGAAAGCTAAATATTAAGGTTTTAAAAATAAAGAACCGAAATGCATTTTTGAAACCGAATAAAATCAACAAAACTTGTTCACTTCGGTTCGATTTTTTGGTTTTGACCAATATTGCATACCCCAACATCTTTCATTGAAATTATCACTCTTAGGTAGCTATAACTGAGATAATTAACACTTACACAGGTCAGTTAGAAGAACATGTCCACTCGTAACTAGGTGATTTTTAGAATGAAAGGCTAATCATAATAACAATAACAAATTTTTACTTCAGCATCTGGAAAAATTTCATTCATTCTCTTGATTGTCATGTTATCTTTGCCCTATAGTACTTAACGGCAGATTATGAAATAAGCTGAGCAGGTAAGTGGCAAGCGAATCAAATTTAATGGAAAACTTATTTTTAGTGGCTACTTTGTTATATTTAAGCTATTTATTCTAGAGGCACCTTTTAAATTTCCATGTTCATGTTTATGGTGAAAGGACTGCAACTCTTTCACTGCTTTTTATGATTCCTTGGAGAGTTACAAAAGCAATGTCTTTGAGATTCCATTGATTTTGTTAATGTAGAAAGTATCTATATTATATTTTGAAGTGTAGTTTTCTGTAAATTTGGAGAAACCACTTGTTCCAATTGAATTTACTCTGATGACATTTATCAGGTTGAGAAGGCCGAATTTTCATGTCCACCATGGTTTTCTGTTGGAGCAAAATCTATGATTCACAGGATACTTGAACCAAATCCTGATAGAGTAAGTTGTTTGTCCTTTACACTATAACACAAGTTAGAGTGTGATTGATGGACTTCTTTTATCATCTTTTTTTTTTTTTATGGTCTTTCTTTTTCTGAATTTGCAGCTCTCATTTATTCATTTAATTGGTTTTTTCCCAGCTTTTAATAATACTATTTTTTATATAATATTTGAGAAAGTTGATGTTGTGCTTGAAAATGAACTTGTTGATAGAATTTTACGTGCATTAATTGTAACTATTTTTTTTAATTAACAACTTGAAATTTTATTGATTATTTATTTTAGCGGTAAACACTGCCATTGTTGGGTCCCAAGTCCCGGATGTGAAAAGTGGAAGGTTGCATTGGGTAGTCGGTAGTCAACGTAAAATTTGTCAAAAAATCATGACATGAATCCTTTTAATCATTGTGAAAATGCTAGGGCGTCTCCTGAAAGCGATGTGCTGTATAACCTGAATATAGTGAAAAATGTGCAAGTGTCGCTACACCTGCGCTCCAGTGTAGTGTCAAATAAGCAGTAAGGGTTCCCACATTACGGACGGATGCGAGTAAAGAAGTTAGTCTATGAAACTAATATTAGGATAAATTCTTGGAATATAGGTACTCTCACAAGTAAATTATTGGAATTAGTTGATATTATGATTCATAAAAAATAAATATCTTATGTATTCAAAAAACTAGATGGGTTGGAAAAAAATGCCAAGTAGATTGATAGCTTAGGTTTTATACTTCGGTATTCACTTAAAAGTAGCACTAGAAATGATGTAGGAGTAATTTTAGATAAGAGTTTGAAAGATAATGTTGTAAAAATTAGTAGAATTAGAGATAGAATTATAACCCTTAAGATTCTTACCCTTAAGATTCTTATTGATACTTAGATTTTTAATATTATAAGTGCTTATGCTTCTCAAGTAGGTTTAGATATAGTTTTCAAGAAAAATTCTGGAATGATCTAAAATGATTTAGTACAAATGATACCTCTTGAAGAAAAAAATTTGTTGAAGGAGATTTAAATTGACATGTCGGTAGAGTGGTAGAATATTTTTGAAATATTCATGACGCCACAGTTTTGGAGTGATTAATGAAAAAGGTATAACCATATTAGATTTTATTTTAGCGTATAATTTTTTTATTGCTAATATTTTATTCAAGAAAATAGATGAGCATGTTATTACTTATAAGAATGGATCTAATAAAACATAAATTGATTATTTTCTGATGAGAAGAAGAAATCATCGCGAAGATAAAGATTTTAAGGTCATTCTAAGTGAGATTTTAATTACCCAACGTCGGTTATTAGTTCTGGATTTTAAGATGATGAATTGTAAAATAAAGAATAGTAGGAACCATTGCCATCGAATTAGATGGAGACACCTAAAATACACAAATAAAATTATTTTTATGAGTAAAATTTAAGATTTTGATATTTGGGGTGTTCATGAAGAAGCAAAGTTTATGTAGGAAAAAATAACAAATAATATTAAACAAGTGACAAAATATGTACTTAAAGAATCAAAAGGAAAAAAAAATTTATAAATAAAAATAGCTGGCGCTGGAATAAAAATGTGCAAGAAAATATAAAATATATGACGTTATATTATAAAAATTGGTTTAAATGTAAAAATATAGAGAATTGAGAAAAAAATAAAATGGCTCTTATGAAGTTTAAGAAAGCAATCTATGATGCTAAAAATTCTGCTTTTAGTGATGTTTATAATAGATTAGATACCAAAGAGGGTGAAAAATATATGTATAAATTTGCCAAACAAAGAGAACAAAAAAGTAAAGATTTAACTCAAGTAAAATGTATTAATGATGAAAATTAAAATGTGTTTTTCTTCGAAAAAGATATTTAATATAGATGGGTAAGTTATTTTGATAAACTTTTCAAAGAAATTTCTGAAAATACGATTTACTGTAGTGATCTCGATATTGTTAATAATAATAAATATTTCATTTTTACCGTTGCATCAGTAAAAAAAAAAGTTGAAGAGATTTTAAAGAAAACTAAGGGTAGAAGGCCTGTAGAACCTGATGATATCCGAATTGAAGTGTGGAAATATTTAGGAGATTTGGTAGTTTCTTGGGTTACTAAACTTTTGAATATTATTTTAAAAACCAAAAAGAGCCTGAGGAATGGTGGAAGAGTATTTTGGTCCCATTTTTAAGAATAAAGTTGATGCACAAGAGCGTGCAAACTATAAAGGAATTAAGTTGATGTGTCATAATTTTTAAAATTATGAGAGAGGGTGATTTAACATAGGTTAAGACGTATTACAAAGATTTCTCATAATAAGATGGATTTATGTCAGACAGGTCTACTATGGAAGCTATACATTTTTAGAGAGGTTTGATGGAGAAGTACAAAGAGGAGGATCTACATATGATTTTTATTGATTTAGAAAAAGCTTACGATAAGGTTCCAAGTGATATTATTTGGAGAGTTCTAGAGAAGAAATGTATTGATATGTGATATGACTTATATTTAAGTCATTAAAGATATGTATACTAGAGTTTTACTTGTGTTTGAACAGGAGTATTGACCAAATATTTCCCCATTACAGTTGGACTACATCAGGGATCAGATTTATGCCCATATCTTTTTGCTTTACTTATGGGTGCTCTTATTGGACATTTACAGCAGGTTGCACTTTGGTGTATGTTTTTCGCTGATGATATTCTTTTTGTGGATAAGACTAGAGAAATAGCTTAGGAAAAATTTGAATTATGGAGGTCTACATTGGAGTTTAAAGGCGTTCGTTTGAGTAGAACTAAAGCTGAATACTTGGAATGTAATTTTAATAGTAGTAGCTCTAGTGATAGAGTTGTAACTATGGGAGATCAAATTATTAAAAGGTGTGGACACTGTAGGTATCTCGGGTCTATTGTTCAAAGTGATGGTGATATAGATGGGGATGTTATTAGTAGAATTCAAGTTGGTTGGTTGAAGTGGAGGAATGCTTCCGGTCTATTGTGTGATAGAAAAGTACCGCTTAGGCTGAAAGGAAAATTTTATAAGATGGTGGTGAGATCTGCAATGCTCTATGGCACAAAATGTTGACCTTTAAAAGAGAAGCATAAAATTGAGTAGGTGCTGCCGAGATGAGAATGTTTAGGTGGATTAGTGGCTTTACACTTGGAGATAAAATGCGAAATGAATATATCCATGATAGGGTTGTTGTAGCTCCTGTGACAGACAAGCAGACAAAATTAGAGAGAGCAATTAGAGAGAGCCATCTTAGATGGTTTGGTCGCATTAAGCGTCGATCATCTAATGATCCGGTTAACAAAGTAGATGTTTATGATTCAACTTATATTAAGAAAGTCATAGGTAGAGCTAGAGAGACTTGGGCATATTGTATAAAAAATCATCTTAATTTATTAGAATTAAATGAAAGTATGACATTCAATATGACACAATGGAGAAAAAGTATTCGTGTAGCCGACCACACTTTGTGGGATAAAGGCTTGTTGTTGTTGTATTTATTTTAGCGGTAGTGCTAAGGAAAAGGAGCTGGTTTGATTTTGAATGGTCAAAAGCGTGAAGTTTCCATACTGTAACCGAGGCATTTAACTGTTCCCTTCCCAGCTTTTTAATAATGCTATGTTTTTATATAAATATTTGAGAAAGTTGGTTTGTTTGAAAATTAACTGGTTGATGGAATTTTACGTTCATTAATTTTAACTATTTGGTTTATTAACTGCTTCAAACTTTATTGATTATTTATTTTAGCGGTTGTACACTTGTACTAGGGAAAGTGAGCTGGCTTGATGTTGAAATGGTAAAAAGCTTGAAGTTTCCATACTGTAACTGAGATAATTTCAAGTTCGCTTGACAGAATCTCCTCCTGCTCAGTATTTAATCTTTTGATAGATGGCCATCTTCTATAGGAAGTGTCTTTCTCTGAGGGCTTCTTAAGCCATGATTTGGAAGCTTTTGTGAGGTATTCTCTCTATGTAGGGTATCATGCATTTTGAGAGGTAGTTAGAGATTTTCTTTGTTCCTGACATGCCTTTTTGGATGCTATAAATCTTGGAGCATTTTGGAACTCCATTTGTGCTGGGAGGCGAATGCTTCATGTCAATTTAATCTTAGTTGTGAGATTATATTTGAAGCGTATTTGCTGTTCGCCAGTAGACATACTATGGTTTGGGAAGGATTGTGAGTTTTCCTTCTATTTGTACTCTATGATCGTGCAATCTATGTTTTTTCTTTCGTTGATTAAATCCCCCGACCTTTTTTGTGGATGTAGGACTTGTTGAAGTTCAACTGGTTAAATTTAGAAACTAATTTGGTTTTGTTTTTTTTCTTTTTTGTATTTTACTTTGTGGCATATCATTTTCTATCCTTCTGACGCATTCATGTTGTTTTATTTGGTTTCCATTGCAATAAATTGATTTTAGAGCGCATTTTTTAGATTTATTGTCATGAGTTTTATGATTGAGATGTTGGATATTTAGAACGTTGGAGAACTATGATTTTTTTACTATCCGTTGATACTCATGCAAAATCTTTCTATAAACGGCTAAGGATTGGTTGTTCATATTGGAGTATACGTTTCAGGAAAGCAAGAAAGAGAAGATTTTTTTTAAAATACAGTTTTGATATTTAGAGCGAGGAGATTATTATACACCATTCTAGGATTCTTAGAAGGTGTCTATAGATTGGATTTAGTGGGGGAGAGTTTCTAAAATGGTAAGAGGAAGAGAATATGCAAAATTGACTGAGTTTGAAAGGGAGTTGAGGTAGTTCAGCAGCTATCCAGTCTGAAAATAGTGCGGCGAAAAACAAAACAGCAGGTTCCATCGAGGTGCTGTTGCTGAGGGAGGATCCAATACATATTATTTTCAGGATATATATACACCACTTGATGAAAAATATGCTACAACTCTCCAAATAGGAGAAAATAGAGAAGTCTCCAAATAAAATAAACCAAATCAAAAGTGTCCAATTCCGGGTTCTAAGCAACATTCTTATATGAAAGCATCAATTTAACCCTA